ACTGGGAGGAGTGAGGGGCAGCCCGCTGCCGCCCCTCGACACAAGGGACGCAGGTAGGGCCGGGCCCCGGAGGAAGGGGAGGGAGGGACCGGGGAAGACCAGAGACAAGGACACGGGAGGCCATGCCTCGGAGACGAAGCAGGGAGGGGTGACCAAGGCGGTGGTGCCAGAGGAGAGTCTCGTGCGACAGGAGGCGACACGAACAGGGGGCAGACTCAGGACCAGACCTGGACGCTGCAGCAAACACCTGACCCGACGCAGCTACCTGACCAGACGCAGTGACTGGAGGAGACGCAGTGGTCAGTGTGTACAGGCTCGACCCCGGCCGACGTGTAAACGTGGCCAGGTGTCGGCCTGTCCGAGCGTCCGTGCAGTGGGTCACCCGCTGACTCGCAGGAGTGAACTGGTGAACCCCCGCATCCTGTAGGTCAGCACCACTCACCAAGTTCGTAGAGAACGAGGGGAGGTAAAGACCAGACAGGGTGCCAGAGGGGGCCACCGGACACGGGAGGACAGTGGAGAAGTGAGCAAGGACAGGACCCCCAGAGGGGTCTGCCAGAGAGACTGCAACTGGCCGGCCAAGCGGCGTGAGTGTGGTGCGGTCTCGAAAGAAGGAGCGAGAAGCCCCCGAGTCAAGGGTGAAGGTGTGGGAGGCCGAAGCCGACGCAGTACCTGAGAGAGCAGACTCACCAGCACCTGAGTGAGCAGACGCACGAGCAGCTAGAGCAGCAGCCTCGCTAGCACCTAGAGCAGCAGCCTCACCAGTACCTAGAGTAGCAGTCTCAATGCCCGGGTCGGGCGGAAAACACCGGTAACAGTCACCCTCATCACTAATAGTCACAGCATACATGGCAGCAAGAATAGCATCAAAGTCAAGGTCAAAGACAGCTACACCCGCCCTAGACAGCTCGCCCCAGAGGGGGATCTCAGTGGCCTCAGGGAACTGGTGACACCAAGCGTCCGTCAGGCGGCCAAAGCAGCGCGTGGTGGAGTGCGCACCCCCGCACGGCTCACCCGCGCGGTCGCCGGTGCGTAGGACGTAGGTGCACGGACCAGTACCCCCACCCCGCTGGCGTGCAGCGTACCACTCACGGAGCTGCTGAGGGGGGGGGGATGTCACGAGTGCGCTGCTGCCGCTGCTGCTGCTGCTGCTGGCGCTGACCACCACCGGAGCCGACCCACTGCCCAGCGCTACCCCGACCAGCTCCACCTCCTCCGCCGCCGCCTCCTCCACCGCCGCCACCTCCGCCACCTCCGCTCCCACCGTCACCGCCGCCGCCGCCTCCGCCTCCACTGCCGCCACCGACACCTCCACCCCCGCCACCACTCCCACCACCACCCCCACCCCCTCCACTGCCGCCACCGCCACCTCCGCCACCCCCGCCAGCCCCTCCAACACCCTTGCCCCCCTTGCCCTTGCCGGTGCGGCGTCTCCCGCTCGGGGCAGACGCAGCGCCGACCGACTCGAGACCAACGAGGTCGGCCGCAGCAGCAGAGGCAACAGAGGGCAAAAGGGGGGAGGGGGAACACCCCTCAAAGACGGGGGTGCGAGGGTCACCACGAGAGGCTCCTACAGCGACTATGCTCTTCTCTGCTGCTAGGAGGGCCTTCTCGAGGAGGTCAACGGTGAGAGTGGTGGGGCAAACTGAGAGGAAGTGGTCCCTGACTACGCGAAGGGAGTCAGGGAGCCGGGTGACTATGTAGTAGAGGGTGATGTACATGGGGGGGGGGGTTCTTGGCGCAGAACTCAGCAGGAAGCGCAGCGCGGTAGCGAGTGTCACTAGTGCAGAGGTGCGTAATGAGGTCAGCGACTGTGGGAAAGGCAGCAAGGTCAGGGAAGAGGTACGGTAGCATGAGGCGGCTCAGTGCAGCAGTGGCAGGGGAGGAGTAGCGCGCAACTACAACGTCGTACAAGGTGTGAGCACTCTTGTACTGGCTAAAGTGCGCTCGCTCAGAGGTAGGCAGGTGGCGACGCACAGCTAGACGTGCAGCAGCATCGCGTGTGGCCCACTGTGAGCGAACAGTGGCGTCGGCATCAGCAGCAGGGGCAGGAGAGGCACCAGAGGTGAGGTCAAAGAGGGAGAGACCGTCTGCCCTATCGCACTGTAAGAAAAGCTGCAGGTCATCTATCCAGACGTCAAAGTCAATGGCCCGACCCTCAGCGTCAAAGGCGAGGACACTAGGGGTAGCCATGACAGCAGTAGACTAGCAGTGCGAACAGTAGGGTAAGGGCAGTGCAGTGATAGAGGCGCTGCTCTTACCGGACAGGGTGGCTCGGGCGGCTCGGCGGCTCGGCAGGACGGCGGGTCGGCGACACGGCGGCTCGGGCAGCTCGGGCGACTCGGCGGCTCGGGCGGCTCGGGCGACTCGGCGGTCGGCTGCTGGGCGGCTCGGCGGCTCGGCGGCTCGGCTGCTCGGCTGCAGGGCTGCTCGGCGGCTCGGGTGCTTGGCTGCTGGGCGGCTCGGCGGCTGGTGTGGTTGGTGACGGTCGCGGCAGTAGTCGTAGAAGCTGTGGCGACTGCTGCTGCAGAGACGACTGCGGCTGCTGCCTCAGGGACGGCGGCTGCCGGCCGCTAGGGGCCGCGAAGAGCGGCGGAGAGGCCGCGAAGGGCGCCACGAGGGGCCGTCGAGGGCGGCGACAGGCCGTGAGGAGGCCGCGGAAGGCGGCTCGAGGGGCCGCGAGGGGGGGGGGGCGTAAGGGCCGACTGGCGACGGGAAGGGGCCGAAGGGGGGCCGCGGGGGGGGCTCTTAAGGGTAGCGCGAGGGGCCGTAAGGGCGGCGCAAGGGGCCGTGAGGGCGGCGCGACGGGCGCGACGGGCCGTAAGGGCGGCACGAGGGGCCGTGAGGGCGGCGCGACGGGCGCGACGGGGCGTAGGGGCGGCGCGACGGGCCGTAAGGGCGGCGCGACGAGCCGTAAGGGCGGCGCTAGGGAGCTGTGAGAGGGTCGCTAAGGGCGACGCGACGGGGCCGTGAGGGGCCTAGCGAGGGCGCGACGGTAGGGAGAGCACACAGGGCGCGACTCGGGCCGGAGCGAAGCGCGCTACGGGCAGGAAAAAAAAAAAATTCGTTGTGGTGGGCCCTAGGAATCGTTCCCACTAGGGAACCTGCTCGATACCATGAGAAGAAACGAGGAATGAAATGACTAAGTGAAAGTTGGGTACAAAAAGCAAACCCTAGAAAACTGTACCCCATATGTGCTACCCCACTATAGCCTACAGTAGCTATGTCATATAAATCTGACACAGACCCACGGGCGACTGGCAGCAGCAGGCTCGCTGGGCTACCGGAGTACTCAACCCCCAGACTACTAGCGCTGCAGACGTCACAACGGCCACCTCCTGTCAACCTCCCCCAACTGTCCCACACCCCTTTCACACACTCCCTGCTGTGCCCCTAGCACTCCTCACACGCCACCCCCCTCGTACCACTCCAACGGCTCCCACACATCCACCCCCCTCAGCGACAGCTGCAGCAGCGGGAGACGGAGGAGGAGGAGGAGCAGGGCTGTCACCCCCATACTCCCCACCCCGAAACCCTAACACAGGAGCGCGGGCAGCAGCGGGGGTGGGGTGCGGCCAGAAGCTCGGGGGACGAACCGCGCGCTGGCTGCCCGGGCCGCGTGCGGGCCTGGCGCAGCCCGTACGGGCCGCGCGCGGGCCTGGCGCATCCCGTACGGGCCGCGCGCGGGCTGTACGGGCCGCGCGCGGGCCTGGCGCAGCCCGTACGGGTCGCGCGCGGGCCTGGCGCAGGTCGCGCGGGCCGCGTCGGGCGACGGGGGGCGACGTGACGGTCGACAGGGGGCGACGCGACGGTTCGACGGGGCAGAAAACCGCCGCGCGCCCCGAGCGCGCGGCGGGATGAAAAATCGCCGCGCGCTCCGGGCGCGCGGCAGGCAGGGGACAGCAGGAAACTGCAGCGGAAGCATTGGGCGGGACCACCCACAGGATCGACCCAGGAGGGTCGACCTGCTCTGATAGCATGTCAGAATCGAACAGCAGGGATGAAACGATAAACAAGAAAGAAGTGTTTTCACTAGCATGCAGTTGAGTACATATAGCAAACCCTAATTCGGGCTGTACTCGCTACAGAGTACCCCACTGCAGGCTACACAAACATCACATTCTGACACCTGCTCGTTCCGCTCACCTTCAGAGCCGGTCAGGTGCCCCCCAGGATTCTACTGGTGGGGACTTCCGTGGCCAGATGGAACGAGCGTTGTGAACATAAATTCCATGACTCGCCCTCCTCCCAGCTCGAGATCCTCCAACTCATCCTGGCACAGTTCCTTGTAGCCCTCAAAAGTTCCTTCTGGTGGAGGAAGAAACAAGCAGTGAACAAACAACTACGTTCGACTTCTCGGCTTAAGCTGGCCACCCAATTATGCTTCTTGGTTTATTATCTTGAGGGACATGGCTCTTATATTTCACAATTCTGATTTCACTCCCCCGCCGCTGACCGCCACCTCAAGTGATCTCCTCCTCCTGAGCTCCTGCTCGTTCCACTCACCTCCAGAGCTGGCCGGGTTCCCCCCCTGGATTCTACTGGTGGGGACTTCCGCAATGGCCAAGTAGAACACGCGCTGTGAACATAAATTCCATGACTCGCCCTCCTCCCAGCTCGAGATCCTCCAACTCATCCTGGCTCAATCCCTCGTAGCCCTCAAAATTTTCCTCTAGCGGAGGAAGAAACAAGCAGTGGACAAACAACTACGTTCGACTTCTCGGCTTAAAGCCTGCTGCTAAAATAGTGACCCCCCCTTCTAGTTGGGTCCACTTGAAGTCTCTAACCCACTCTATAATGATTTGGAAAGTTGAAGTGTTGTGTTGTTATTTTTTTGCAGACGCGTTTGATACCGATCAAGTCTTCACAATCTGCACTCAAATAAAAACGTCGAAAGCATGTGCAAATGTGTCGCAACTTTGTGACTTGCAAGTCCCATTCACATAGAGTGTCAATTTCACATTGACATGTGCAATTCAGAAGTCACATATATGTGCAATTCACGCACAGCAAATGCCTTTGGCACTGGCCTGCTAGGGCGGCAATAGCAACATAGGAAAAACAAGAGGGGAAAAACATTGAGTTTCTAGGTGACGCGAGAAGAGAGAGATAGGGCGGCGTGAGGTAGAGAGCACGGGCGACGAGACAGTTGATGGGAGGGGAGAGAAGAAGAGCGACGGGAGGGCGTTTCTGTGCGAGAGCGAAGGCGACGAGGTGGGTGATGGGAGGGGAGATATGAAAGGCGACGGGAGGGCGTTTGTGAGCGAGAGCAAAGGCGACAAGGTGGGTGATGGGAGGAGAGATACGAAAGGCGACGGGAGGGCGTTTCTAAGAGAGAGCAAAGGCGACGAGATGGGTGATGGGAGGAGAGATACGAAAGGCGACGGGAGGGCGTTTCTGAGCGAGAGCAAAGGCGACGAGGTGGGTGATGGAAAGAGATATGAAAGGCGACAAGAGGGCGTTTGTGAGCAAGAGCGAAGGCGACGAGGTGGGTGATGGGGGGGGGAATTGGGTGGGGAACGAGAGGGCGTTACGTGGAGAGCGCAAAGGCGATAGGGTGGGTGATGGGAGGTGAGAGAGGAAGGGTGACGGCAGGGGAGGGGAGAGAGGAAGGGCGACGGGAGGGGAGGGGAGAGAGGAAGGGCGCCGGGAGGGGAGGGGAGAGAGGAATTGCGACGGGAGGGGAGGGGAGAGAGGAAAGGGCGGGGGGAGGGAGGGGAGAGAGGAAGGGCGACGGGAGGGGAGGGGAGAGAGGAAGGGCGTCGGGAGGGGAGGGGAGGGGAGAGAGGAAGGGCAACAGGAGGGGAGGGGAGAGAGGAAGGGCGACAGGAGGGGTGGGGAGAGAGGAAGGGCGACGACAGGGGAGGGAAGATAGGAAGAAGGACGGGAGGGGAGGGGAGAGAGCGAGGGCGACAGTAAAGGTGGAGTAAACAGGGAAGACATGAGAACATGAGTGCGACGGGAGGAGAGGGGAGAGATTGAGAGCAACGAGAATGTACGGGAGATGGCGAGGGCGAGGGAAGGGAGGGGAGATGGCGAGGGCGAGCGAACGTGAGAATGGGAGGGCGACGGGATGGGAGGGGAAATCGCGAGGGCGATCGGAACGGGAGGGCAATCGTGATGGTGCACGGAGGGTGGCGTGACTTATGGCGGGAGGGCGACGCAAAGGAGACAGGACAGGCGACAGAACGGGGGACGAGAGAGCGGCATGACGCGCACCAAGAGGAGATAGCGAGGCGACGGGCAGCGAGGGGAGATAGCGATGCGACGGGCAGCGAGGGGAGATAGCGAGGTGGTTTTATGGGAAGGGAGAGAGGAGTGGGTGGGCGATTCAGGGCTAGCGCGATAGCGACGCGGTGAGGGAGGAGCGAGAGGGGCCGACCATGACAGGGGGTTGACGATTGCGCGCGGCGGGAAAAATAGCATTACACTCCCAGACCACACTTTGCTACAATACGCACCTGAGCTAAGTTGTTAATTGCGTGCCTATGACACTAACGACTAGGATTTCAGCTATTCTTAGCTAGGCAAAAACTAGTGACTATGGGAGAAAACAAGACTCGACGTTAACGTCGGAAGGGTTGCGTAGATGTTACATTCTTAGTTGACAAAAAAAAAAGAGGCGACGTTAACGTCGGAAGGGTTGCGTAGATGTTACATTCTTAGTTGACAAAAAAAAAAGAGGAAATTCTGTTTTAACGTGAATGTTTATGATTTTTTACTATTGAATTTTATAATATGTTATAATCTAGACACATCGATCGATTTTTTTTATAATGAACAATGATGTTCTCTTCCCTCAAAGATAATACTTTGTATTGTAACATTATACTATTTTCTGTGGTTCTTAGTGAGTTGTTTTCAGCCCACTCAGTGTCACGTGATTGTGCGTGTGTTTTCACGTGACAATCTCCCACCCACCTGTTGCCTCTCCCTCCCACCCACCCACCTCGTCATAGCCTCTCCCTCCACCCGCGCCATCCTTTCTTTCCCACCGCGCCGTCCTCTCTCCCTCCCACACGCCGTCGCCTCTCACCCGCCGTCGCCCCTCCTTCCTACCCGCCGTCGCCGCTCCCTACCTCCCGCCGTCGCCGCTCCCTCCCTCCCGTCGTCGCCGCTCCCTCCTCCTGCCGTCGCCGCTCCCTCCCACCCCGCCGTCGCCGCTCCCTCCCATTCCGCCGTCGCCGCTCCCTCCCATTCCGCCGTCGCCGCTCCCTCCCATTCCGCCGTCGCCTCTCCCTCCCATTCCGCCGTCGCCTCTCCCTCCCACCCCGCCGTCGCCGCTCCCTCCCATTCCGCCGTCGCCGCTCCCTCCCATTCCGCCGTCGCCGCTCCCTCCCATTCCGCCGTCGCCGCTCCCTCCCATTCCGCCGTCGCCTCTCCCTCCCATTCCGCCGTCGCCTCTCCCTCCCATTCCGCCGTCGCCTCTCCCTCCCATTCCGCCGTCGCCGCTCCCTCCCATTCCGCCGTCGCCGCTCCCTCCCATTCCGCCGTCGCCTCTCCCTCCCATTCCGCCGTCGCCTCTCCCTCCCACCCCGCCGTCGCCGCTCCCTCCCATTCCGCCGTCGCCGCTCCCTCCCATTCCGCCGTCGCCGCTCCCTCCCATTCCGCCGTCGCCGCTCCCTCCCATTCCGCCGTCGCCTCTCCCTCCCATTCCGCCGTCGCCTCTCCCTCCCATTCCGCCGTCGCCTCTCCCTCCCATTCCGCCGTCGCCTCTCCCTCCCATTCCGCCGTCGCCTCTCCCTCCCATTCCGCCGTCGCCTCTCCCTCCCATTCCGCCGTCGCCTCTCCCTCACTTCGCCGTCGCCTCTGGCGACAGGTCACGAGCGAGCCGGTGCGCGAGCGGGAGCTGGTGCGCGGTGCGCGAGCACGGGTTGGGTCCCTGAGGCACCGTGTTTTGCAGGTGTGTTTTCCTTTCCCTGTCCTTTGTTCCTTTCTCTCCCGTGAAATTTTCTTGTTCTTCTACCTTATTTATAGTTTATGTGGGTCGATTAGTCTTTGCACTACTGTTTGAAGTGCGGAAAAGAGGGAGCGGGAGGGAGAGCGAGCGCGCAGGAGAGTGCGCGTGATAGAGGGAAGGAATAGCTAGTAGCTGGACGGAAACAGGCGGGCAGAGCGTGCAAGAGGGAGCGTGGGAGGGAGAGGCGGGAGAGTGGGCGCCGTTGGTTCTGTGTCTTAGGCACTTGCTCTTAGGGCGCTGACGCTGTGGGCGCGAGCGCCGTGAGCGCGAGCACCGTGGGTGCTGGCGCTTGCACTTAGGGCGCTGGTGCTGTGGACGCAGGCGGCGTGACAGCTTGCGCTTAAGGCTCTAGCGCCGTGGGCGCTTGAGCTCAGGGTGCTGATGCCGTGGGCACAGGCGCCCTGTGCCCTTGCGCCATTAGCGCGGACCCCATGGGCGCTGGCGCCTAAGGCGTTTGGCTTAGGGCGCTGGCGCCTTGGGCGTGAGTGCCATGGGTGCTGGCCCCAAAGGCGCTTGCGCCGTTGGCGCGAGCGCCGTGGGTACTGCCCCCTAAGGCGCTGGCGCTGTGGGCGCTGGCGCCTTGGGCGGTTGCGATTAGGGTGCTGGCGCCTTGGGCACGGGCGATGTGAGGGCGAGACCTGGATGTGCGCGTGCACTTGCGGGTGAGTGCGGTTGTGCAGGCAAGGGCAAGTGCGAGTGTGAACGAGAGAGCAGGTGCGAGCGTAAGCGCGAGTGTGAGTGCGAAAGCAATTGTGAGAGTGAGTGCCAGGGTGAGTTTGAGGGTGAGTACGAGTGTGAGTGTGTGTGTGAGTGCAAGGGGGAGTGCGAGGGTCCGTTTGAGTGTGTGCTAGGGTGAGGACGAGGATGAGTGCAAGAGTTTGTGTGTGTGTTTCTGTGATTGTCGAAGAAGAGTTGAGAGTACATTGCATGTGTTTGAGTGATCAGTGAGCGCGAGAGTGAGTGCAAGAGTGTGTGCAATGGTGAGTTCGATGGTGGCTGCGATGTTGAGTGCAAGCGTGAGCGCGGGTGTGAGTGCGAGGGTGTGTGAGATGGTGTGTGAAGGCAAGTAGAAGAGTGAGTGCGAGGGTGAGTGCGAGGGCGAGTGTGAGCGTGAGTGTGGGTGTGGGTGTGAGTTGAATTCAAGGGTGCCACCGTGCCGGCGACTGTGTGTGCGTGTGAGTGTGAAAGTGTTTGAGTGAGTGCGCGAGTTCGAGGGTGAGTGCAAGGGTGTGTGTTTGTGTTTCTGAGGGTGTGTCTAACAACGGTTGAAAGTAATTGTACGTCCGTGAGTGGTTGCGAGAGTGAGTACGAGAGGTGTGAGGGTGAGAGGGCGGTATCCGGGTGCGAAAGCGGGTGTGACTGCGAGTGTGAGTACGCGCGTGTACTTGAGGGTAAGTGCGAGGGTGCGTGCAAGTGCGTGTATGCGGGTGAATATGAGAGGAAGTACGAGGGTGCGTGTTTAGGTGAGTGCGATGCGAGGGTGAGAACGAGAGCAAGAGTTAGAGCAAGTGCGAGAGTGAATTTGAATAAATATGATGGTTTAGGGTTTGGGGTGAGTGTGTGCTCGAGTGTGAGGGTAGTTCAAGGGTGAGTGCGAGGATGAGTGGGTGTGCGTGTGAGTGCAAGGCTGAGAGCGAGACTGAGTGCAAGTATGTGTCTTAGGGTGAATGAGAGAGCAAGTGCGAGTGTGAGTGCAAGGGTGCGTGTGAGTGTCCTTGCATGCGCATGTAAGTATTTGTGTTAGTATGATTGGAATGAGAACGATCATGGGTGCGAAGGTAAGTGCCAGAGTGAAGGTGTAGGTTTGTATGTGTGTTTCTATGAGAGTGTCTAAGAAAGTTGAGAGTATTTGTGCGTGTGTGAGTGGGTACGGGATTGAGTACAAGATTGAGTGCAAACGTGAGTGTGAAGTTGAACTTGAGGGTGGCTTCAAGGTATGGCATCATGCTGGTGTAGTATCTGTGGTGACACGACTAATGCCAATTTACCTCTGTGAGCTGTCATCTTTTTGTATGATGCTTATTTCGTCTCTAGTGTGTGAGCTGCATTCTCTGCTTTTGTCTTCTTTTGCAATGCTATGAGGTGTACTCTCTTTGTTTTTGCTTTCTTATGCAGTGTGGGTGAGTTGTTTCCTGCTTGGCCTCCTCGCAGGGTACATGAGTTGCATCCTCTGTTTTTGCTTTCTTGTGCAGGGCATGTCGCAGTCTCTGTTTTTACTTTGTGCAGGGCGCGTGAGCTGCATTCTTTGATTCTGTTTGGCGGAGAAGGGAGAGGAGGGAGGCAATGGGTGGGAGATGAGGGAGGGAGGGATGGAGGGAGGGAGGGATGGAGTGAGGGATGGAGGGAGGGAGGGAGGGATGGAGGGAGGGAAGGAGGGAGGGATGGAGGGAGGGAGGGAGGGAGGGAGGGAGGGGTGTAGGAAGGGTAAGGGGTGATTGGCTAGTGATGATTTTAATAGCTGAATTTCATGATGGTTGTGTGTTGACTATCAGTATGTATCTGCGCTTGTTTGCGTGCGTGTATGTGTGTGTGTGAGCCTGTGTGAGATATGTATGTGCAATCGTGTTGTTTGTATCGTTTGTGTCCGTCTCAAGGCGTGTACTGAAGTGCCTCGTGTATGCAACTCAGGTTGTGATCGCCGGTGGGGCAATAGCCTTAGCGTGCCAGACCAATCTTTGTTGCATCATCGATGCATTTTAGTATTCTCCCCAAGACGCTCGTACCGTATTTGTTATGTGTTGTCGTCTTTGGTGTACCAGTACAATGTCACGTGTGCTCGTTCATGTTTGTTGTAAGGTGTCATGTTAAAGTGTGTCGGGTCTGCAATTGAGGTGGGGATCGTTGTTGGGGCAGCGTTGCTCGCCTTAGCATACCGGATCCATCGCTATTGTAGCACCGATGCATTTTACCATTCACTTTACGACATTTGTAGTTGTTGAGTCTTGTCGTTTATGCACATGTTCAATGGATGCAAATACCGTTATTTGCATCCACGTCGAATTTGTTCTCTCGACAATTGTGTTTGACGTAAAACATGGCGAGGCTACCAATTGTTTCCATTCGCCGTATTTATCGACGATTATGGAATAATTGGTCTCATTTGGTTTCACCCTTTTTGGAGTCTCTTGTGTATCAGTGCGTCATCTCCACACATTTGGAGCACTAGTTCTCAAAATGTTAAAGCTAGTGCTTCAGATGTTGGGAAAATGGCAAAAAAATGCACTGTTCATATGAGTTCCCCAAAAATCGGAAAAACCAAATGTAAAGGGTTCTTAAACAGTGAACGCAACGGAATGATTGGAATAGAAACGAATGGGGTACAAATAAGCAACCCTAGAAGCTGTACCCCCTAGAGTGCAACTCACTACAGCCTATCATATCAATGTGCAACATTTGACACACCCCCATAGGCTAAGTGAGGGGCATCAAAGCAAGCAAGGTGAACAAACGGTCACAAGACCAGTCAAAGCAAGAACCAAGGCAAGCTCAGGGTGGATCTCAAGGACACCACACAAATTCCGAGCGCAAGCAAGCGGCCACAAGGCCAGTTCAAGAGTTCACTAGGGTATAAATACAAAGCACAACAAGCAGAGCAAGCAACAGGACTACAGCAACCGAGGGCCTACCTCAACAAGCCCCAACTGCACACAGAACCTGTGGTGGTCACCAAGCGCCAAGGCCTTGGTGAAGACGTCTGCAGTGTTGGCCTCTGAGGCCACAAAGTCCACGCGTGCCTGACCGCGTCGCTGCAGCTCTCGCAGGAGGAAGTACCTCACGTCAATATGCTTCACTCTGCTCTCCAGTCGAGGCTCTCGACACAGGAGGATCATGGCCTTGTTGTCAGCGTACAAGGTCGGTGCAGAGCGAGGCCGCTCACCAAGGTCTGCGAGCAAGAAGGTCAACCAGCGAAGCTCCTGTGCCGCCATGGCACCCGCGTAGATCTCTGCCTCTGCACTGGAAGTAGCCACAGACGACGACCGTGTAGACCTCCACGACACAGCACCGGCTCCCAGACTGAAGCAGTAAACCTGAGTCGAGCGCTGAGTCTCCACGTCGTCAGCGTAGGAAGAGTCACAGTGACCAGTCAACGCCACTGGCTGAGTCCCTCCAAGCACAAGCCCCATGCCTGATGTAGTCGCCAGGTACTTCGCCACCCTCACAGCAGCTGTCCAGTGGACAGGGCGGTGTCTCCCAGTCGCAACAAAGCGAGAAAGGATGCTGAGGGGAAAGGCGAGGTCCGGTCGAGTACAAGTCATCAGGTACATGAGGCAGCCCACCAGCTCTGCGTAGGGTCCACTGGACTCAAAGGGCTCGTCAGGAAAGGGGCCCGTGAGTCTGTGGTCAACAGCAAGAGGAGTGGGCTGTGTGGTGGAGAACTGGAAGTCGAACCGCCGAAGGACCTGCTGCACCATGTGTGACTGCGTCAGTGTGATGGTGCGAGCGGCTCTGTCCCGGGTGATCTGCAAGCCAAGGTAACGCTGCAGCTCACCCAGGTCAGTGCACTTGTGTCTCTTCTGCAGTTCGGACTTCACCTGAGCCAGGGCTGCCCTGTCTGCTGTAGCAAACACCAAGTCGTCGACGTAGACAAGGATAAAGAAAGGAGTAGAACCCGCTCGAACAAACAGCGACGGGTCGGCGGAGGACGGGCTGAACCCAAGGTCACGAAGCGTGGAGCGAAGAGTGTCGTGCCACTCACGGGGCGACTGGCGGAGACCGTAGACCGGTCGCCTCAGGCTCCACTGGGTCCCAGGTGGGAAGGTGTCAGTGAATCCAGGAGGACGGCGCAGCCAGATCTCCTCGTGCAGTCGGCCCTGGAGGAACGCAGTGGAGAAGTCGAGGGAGTGCAGCTCGTAGTCTCGCTGCGCTGCTATGTGGAGTAACACCCGAAGAGTAGTCATCTTCGGGGTCGGGGCGAAGGTCTGGAAGAAGTCAACTCCCTCACGCTGACTGAAGCCCCTAGCCACGTAGCGCGCCTTGAACACTGGCGGTGCTCCAGGCGGCCGCTTCACCTTGAAGAGCCACATGCCATCGACTACGTTCGCCCTAGGAGGGGGAACTGCGTCGACGTAGGTGCCTGTGGATCTCCAAGACGCCAACTCTGAGTCCATAGCCGCTTTCCACTGAGAGGCCCACGCTCCTGACACTGCCTCGCGGTAAGTGCGAGGAGTCGGTATGTCAAGGGCGTCGGGGTCTCCCTCAGGGGAGAGCAGCATGGCACACACAGAGGGAGAAGCGGCTGCCCAGTACTCCAGCTCAGACTCTCTGTCCTCTAGGACGTCACAGCCAAGGGCAAACCCACCCCCGACGGACAGAGGACGGTAGGGAGGAGCTGGCACCACACGGGTGGCGTAGTCAAGGCGGCTGGCGGCAGCAAACTCAGCGACAGCGGCAGTGAGAGCTGAGGCAGACGACGGAGGGAAACGAGAGTCGGTGACAAGAGTGGCGAGGA